TATAATACTTTCAATGGGGGAAAATTTTGCATAGAAGCATGTGTGCGGCCTCACAACGCTTGAAACTGGGTTTCGATACCCGTGGTGGGCAGTGCACAGCTAGCTCATTGTTTAGCTTTGTACTTAATTATAAACAAACAAACAAATTCATGTTGAACGAAGTGCGTGCAAATATATACTCGGGGCAAACTCGTGCTTCGTGTACGATGAGCCCAATAATATCATTTGAGTACTGAAACATTTTTAGGAAAAATAAATAAAAAATGAATATAGACGGGATTGAATCTGCGACCTCCCGCAAACAAAGTGTGTACTGTGCCATATGATCCAAAGCCCAAAGGTTTTTGTCTCATATGTAGCATTGTTAGATGGAATACTGTATATATATATGAGAATGATATATGTTTTAAGTAGATAAACCGTTTAAATAATGTTGTTGCATGTTATCTAGTTCCACATGGATAAAACAGAAACCTACTAAGCAAAAATGTTTTTTTTTTATTTAGATTTAAAGTGAAGTGTAAAAACATGTAATGACTATAAACGAAATATATCACTACATATTTTTGTATAAACATCTTGTCTTTGTGGTGACTAGGATACTGAGATTTTTTCTTGATCGAACTCTTGATAAAGCGAAGTTATAAAATAGTAAAAATTTTAAATTTATGGTATCAAGAAGTGTAAAAATCAATCGTCTTCGTTTGTCTTTGTCGCTATTTCACTTACCACCAAAAACAGAAATTATGTAAAATTTTATTCCTCTAGTGGGTAAACTCGTTCTTCGCGTACGAAGAGTATTTAAACTTTATGCCTAATTGTCTGAATTAAGGGTATCTCCACCTAGCTTTGTGCTAAACTCCACAGACTAAATAAAATAAAACAAATAAATGGCCTTTTAATAAGCTGTCTGTGGTTTTTGTGTGTTTTTGCTTGCTGATACTCCGTCCACGTAAGTTCAAACTCTCATAGTCAATTTTTAGCCGCGGCTCATGGAACGGCTCTCAGTTTTTTTGTTTTGTTTTTTCAAGTACAAACTTTTAGCTCGTAGCACTTCACCTCTTGACCGATTAGAGATCTAATTACAGTTTGGGACTGAGGAGGTCAAACTCTCTCGAGTGATGTATTGACCACGCCCAAGGTCTCATATATTAATTTACTCTACTCCTGCCTAAAAGAATTTCAATTTGAGGGTAGGTTGGTAGAGATCCTGATGAGTAATAAAATCGAACCGGGTATATGCGTGTCTCATGCTTTGTATTGCTGGCTGCGTGGCGTACAAAAGATAAAGCTATTAAATAGGGAAAAAAAAAGTCTTATAGATTAATTTATTCTAATACGGCCTAAAAGAATTTCAAGTGCCGCGGCTATTGAGAATTCTCTATAATTTGTATTACTATATCAGGGTTTTAAATATATATGTATGTTATGGATTTCGCGCCAAGCTACACGAGGGCTATCCGCGTTAGCCGTCCCTAATTTAGCAGTGTAAGACTGGAGGGAAGGCAGCTAGTCATCACCACCCACCGCCAACTCTTGGGCTACTATTTTACCAACGAATAGTGGGATTGACCGTCACATTATAACGCCCCACACCTGAAAAGGCGAGTATGTTTGGTGTGACAGGGATTCGAACCCGCGACCCACAGATTGCGAGTTGAGCGCCCTAACTACCTGGCCATGCCAGGCCTTTTAAATACGAATGGGCTGGGATTCTTCTACAGTAGGTGTCTGTGACTTGTTGACGATAAATTCGAACAATAAACGGACAGCACACAATACAGTTGTTTTAAAATAATATATTCAAATCAAGTCAAACGTATGTACAAAAATTCTTTACACTATCGGATGTCAATAGTATCTAAAATGCTAAATAATTCTTATTTCTCGTCAAAAATCCACTCAGGCTGATTCAACTACTTTAGAATCGAATTGACAAGATTCATTATTTTTCTATGCTCATATCACAGTAGTATCATGAATAATTCACTTACATTACCCCGTGGGTTACCACTGCTGTATCCTGAACTTTGAATAACTGTCTCCTTTTCGTCAAAGTCCACACAGATAGGTTCAATGAATTTAGAACACCCTCTGACAAGACAAATTATTCTCCTTAGCTCTATTAAACTGTGAAGCTGACTTTAAAATAACGCCCGTTACGTTTAATCACTCACACGCCAGCTAACTTCACGTTTTCTAACTTTTTTGACCGAACTTTACTTTCACTTTTCTTAACTTGATCTCACTCTGTCACCTATATATATATATATACCATGTTCAATGATGCCTCGAACTTTCTGTAAACTACGCGAGCGACACTATAGCGTAACAATATTTACTTAAGATGACTAGAAAAATACCGAAGATTCAAGTAACTGGGTGTCAACAATACTACAACAATTGAACCACACACACAACGTACGAATCTTACTGAGTTTTCCCCAGTAAAGTCTTGGGATTTACAATGCTACAGTCAGGGGTTCGATTCCCCTCGGTGAACATAGCAAATAGCCCGAGTAACGCAACAAACTTGTCATAATTATCGCCTTTAAAATAATTACTTTTAACTCTCATGTTATGAAAAGTAAATATTCAGTAAATATTAAATTCTCAAATAAACTAAATAATAACTCTTAAACCAAACAGTTTGTATATCCAACATACTATACTAGGCTTTTGACTGTTGCTTTTGACCCCGAACTATTTATGAATTTTGGGTCAAATGATGCAAGTCGAAATTACTACTAAGGCAGTCAGTAAATATGTCAGGGCCCGGCATGGCCATGTGGTTAGAGCACTCGACTTGCAATCTGCGGGTTCAAATCCCCATCACATCAAATATGCTCCCACTTTCAGCCGTGGGGCGTTATAATGTGACGGTCAATCCCACTATTCGTTTGTAAAAGAGTAGCCCAGGAGTTGGCGGTGGGTGGTGATTACTAGCTGCCTTCTCTCTAGTCTTACACTGCTAAATTAGGGATGGCTAGCGCAGATAGCCCTCGTGTAGTTTTGCGCGAAATTCAGAACAAGCAAACAAACAAATACATCAGTAAATTAGGCACGTGTATCGAGACAATTGGAAACGTATAATGGTTATACAGTAGTGAAGTTTTAAAATTATGGTATCAAGAAGTGTAAAAATCAATTATCGTCATGTGTTTTCTTGTAAATGTCTTGTGTGTATATTTGTCAAAATCGCATTTGTATATCATCTGAAACCTGTAATTATTTTCTTTCTTTCTCTAAAGCATCGAAAGTGAATGAAGTTGCGGGAGTGACTAATTAAGGCTAATTGCCGTAAATTATATAGCGGGTAAACTTGTGCTTCACGTTCGAAGGTATTTAAACTTTAGAACTAATTGTCGTGTTTTAGGTGCCTATTGGAATTTATACTGAGATATACTGGTATTACAAAATTTATAAGTAAATAAAAAATAAAAGAATTAACTTAATGTGTTTATTTGCTACCGAAGTAAATGTCTTTAACTGGTGTAGAACAATGCACGTTAAACGCCATTCACTTTTGCACTCGTATAAACGTAAAAGTACCACTGTACAATCAGCCAATAAAACTATTGGGTTTCCTTGCGAGCTAGCACGCATACACACACTGAAAATGTGTAGTATTTCGTGTAGTTAATAAGAGAACTTTAGGTGTAAAACTCCTAAGCTGTGGAATGGTGACATTTGGTAATAACGACTAAACTACCAGTTTATAAGTATCATTATGTAAATTTAAGACTTTGAAAGTTGTAACCCAGTTAGCCTGATGAGTCTGATCCTGATGAAAGGCTACCATGGCAATGGAATTCAAGATCTAGATGCAGTTAAGATATTATTAATCACTATTCATACTGTAAATCTCCATTGAACCAGTAAGGATTGGTGTAAGTTAAGTCATTGTCAGTCTTGCTGCGAGTTTTAAACCTTAATACTTGTTGCCCCTTATTTAAACACCTGTGTGTAGTCAAGCCGGTCTGGTGAGTTTTAGCATTTAAGAAAAAGACTAATTGGCAGAAGCATAAAACAAGTTTACAGTAGTGTTAATGCATCTAATACTGTTATATATTCATTTTACTGGAAACTCATAGAGGGCAGTGAAAAATGATGTGATTTAAATATTATGTTTTACTCATGAGGATGATGTTGTAACGTCGAAACATGTAGAGTCATCAACTTTTTGAAG